AATATATATATATATATTATTTAATATGATTTAAGTCTTGACTACTAAGGCAGAAGAAAGATATGGCAGAAAAATTGTCTTAACTGTATCTCTTCAGACTGGAAGTTATGTTTTTTAATTTATAGATCTACACTTTGTCAGAATGCCAGACAGGATGATCTACTTCTCCCCTTCACCCGTTTTTTCCCCCCTTTTCTGTTTTGCTCTTCATGCTCTACTTTTACTCAGTAAGTGATTCTGGAGACAGCTATTTACCTAGATTCTTGTGGGTAAGTACTGTACAGTAGGATTACCTAGAGGACTAGTTTGACCCATGCTTTCCCAGGTCAAGTTTTATTGCATTGTTTACTGCAGATACATTGCCACAATCAGACACTGAAAGTCCATCTTTCTGCAGTCCTCCTTCAACATGCTCCCAGTGCTAATGCTTTACTGTTGACGTGTGCCTTCAAGTCGTTTCCAACTTATAGAGACCCTAAGGCAACCTATCATCGGGTTGTCTGGCAAGGTTTGTTCACAGATTTGCCATTGCCTTCACCACAGACAAACAAAAAGACGCAACTTCCAGAATAAAAGAAAAGAGGAGACTGAGCTGGGATACTGTTAAAAAGATACAGTAAAAAGGAACTTTGTCAGATGCTTTGCTAGCTGAGGGATGCCTGCATAGAGCTGGATATTTACTTTGTTTTGGATCCTAGTCAGATTACAAGAGCATTGCATGATGCCATAGATGACAACAGAAAGTAATGCATATCCTGTTGCCACTTGCCTTACCAAATCAAAAGCTGAATGAACTCCCACATGTTTTCTTCTCTTTGCTTAAACCTTCCATCTATTCCATTATCAGCCAAATGCAGTTTAGCTAACCATGGTCCAGGGTCGTACTTCTTACTTTTCTTCTTTAAGCCTGCAAGCAGTATAGGCACATAAAGATTAATTCTTGTACAATGAAGATATGCACACTAATGTGTGATGACCAATACCACATGTGACCTTCCTTATATATATTTAGTATGGAAGATACCACTGTGTTTTGTGAAAGACACATTAATTTTCTTAGGACTAGTAATATTTACAGTAAAGCTATCCAGTCCATTCATATTCCATCATATTTTCCACTCTACCTTTGTTACAGTCTAGTCTGATTAATATAAAAGCTGGTCAGTGAAACTTTTCATATGTTTTCTAGCACTGTATTTTTAGGGTGACTTTTATAAAATGCCTAGAATTAAAGGACCTCTTTGTAGAAAATAATAACCTGTGTGTACAAATGCCAGGTATTTCATACAGTGAACACACCCTAGTTGTGATCTCCCAGCACACTTTTACATAGCAAAACCCCCCCAGTATTTTCCATACATGAAATGAATATGTATATGACTACTATTACTACTACTACTATCTATTTCTTACCCACCCCTCCCTATGGATTCAGGCAGGAAACAACAGCAACATATAACACAGTTAAAAACACAAATGTCAATTTAAAACATATGATTCGTTAAATGAGCGTAACATCAGATTAAAAATGCATATTTAAAACAACCAATTCACAATTTAAAACTCATAATTTAAAAACCATCTGGATAGGCCTGACAGATTCTGCATGGCTATATTCTATGTGAAGCGTAGTTCCCATTATACAAGGCATAGCTGTAATTCTCACTAGGGAGGTAACCTGTACAATTTCAGACCTCTGGCAAGGGGTTCAAAGAGATGAGATTGTTCATATGGCTGAACAAATTTATATACCAAATTATCTCCTTGGAAACTAGCATGCCAGAGAGGAAGGATTTTTCTAAACAGAGGGATGGTGTTACAATGGAGGGCTAATGAAACATGTGATTCATAGAACTGGAAAGTACAGCAAAGGCCATCTTGTTCGACCCATTGCCATGCAGGAATAAAATAGAGCACTCCCAACAGATAGACTTCCAGTCTCTGCTGGAAGACCTCCAAAGGAGAGCCCACCACTCACTCTGTGCCACATGTGAGCTCCTTCCCATTTGCAAATGCAAAATGGTGCAGCTGCCTGAGGACTTAACTGAGAACTAGGGCATAGATAAATAATGCAAAGAGGTGAAGAAAAAAGAGCAATTCTGGACTGTGAATCAGGGGATCTTAGAATGAAGGATTTCAGACAGGAAAGAAGTCACTTTCATATTTTTCTACAGACCCAAACATACTTTAATAATTGTTTAATTTAAAATTAAACAAAAGGGCAACAATCATGATACATACCCATCTTTATATCATCCTAATTAGTTCTACATCATTTGGTAAATTAATTATACCTTTTATCTTCTTTTTCTTCCCAGTGCGTTCTAATGCAGTAACAGTAGAGTTGTTTGTTTTGGAGGTGGTATCGGTATGAACAGCTTTTGAACTAACATTTGCATCTTTGTTTGCTGTTAAAAATGAAACAAAAAAAAACATTTATTATCAGCTGATTTACATTAAAAATTATATAAACTACATCTATATATTTCTATATACATTGCTACTAGATGAATCCCATATCTATATATTTCTATATACATTGCTACTAGATGAATCCCATATTGCCTAATGCCCAGAAAGATGCTGAGTAACAGAGGGAATGTAGCCACTGGAATATAGATCAGCTTTCCTCAAGTTGCTGCCTCCCAGATGCTGTTAACTTCAACTTCCTTCAACCCAGCTGCATAGGGATCAAAGGAGCTGAAATCAAAAACACTTGGAGGCCGCAATGCATCCAGCAAGAGTACTAAACCTATTTGAAAAAAAAAATCATTTATTGGTTATTGTTCAATACGTTATTATTGATATAATAACAAGAGAATGTGTTCACAGGCAAAATCAAACAAGGGTAAGCTAATGTTATATGTTCCAACAAAATGGATGTCACAGAAAAGCAGCAGCTGTTCCCCCCTCCATGAAGCTATGAGACAGGTCTCAGAGCTCAAATTTTATATTCTTTACCCAAGGGAATTCAATCAAACAGTGACAGGGCATACAGACCCAAACCATATAGCATTTGACAAAAATGCTTACTCTCAGATAGGAATGTAAATACTTACACATTTTCTCATCTTTTGTGAGAAAGCGAGTCTTGACACATCAAGATACTGCATTGAGAAAATGGCCAATCATGAGATTTTTTCATAATTTGAGACTGAAGTGAAAAATTACAAAAAAAACAAAACCCTTTGTTTTTGTGCAAAATATACTGCTTTCTAACATAATAGTTGTTGCACAAATGAAACTTTGACAAACCAGTCCTCATGTGTGGAAAATTACTAAAAATGTACAAAATTTCTTGTAGTATTGCACAGCATGAAGAAAAACTTTGAAATTATTTGTTCTTCCATGAAAATTAATTTTCCCTACTCTCACCAGAACCAGCCAGAGCCAGATATTGTAATGTGCAAGATCAGTACATTGACTTTGAATTCCCCAAGAACTGATAACACAAGTATTGATTGTATTTGCTCATCCTATTAGTAATACAAAGTGCCGGAAGTGCCCAGAACCAAAGAGACAGAAAATTCAAAGCCTTTATCATCACTGTTCCCAATATTAAACTTTGATCACTGGATTGACCATCAAAATAGTGATAATTCATTTAAGGTGAACTAATGCTGTCCATGTTCCTCAACCTTTACTCAACCTGAATTCCCAGTCTCTGCCTAACCATGCTGTCTGGGAAGAATGGAAGTTGCCGTTTGCATCTGGTAGACATAAAATTTGCACTAAATGCTATGTTTGCAGCCCTTGTATTTGTTCCTTTCATACTTGTAATCCATAATAGTTACATACTGTATGTACACATTTAATTAAGAACAATCTCGTAAAATATATGGACATTGTGAACTGTATTCTATATGTGCTAAATGGATAACCAGAGCTCAGATATATAGTTCATTTAAAAATACAATTTTTCTTTTCAGCAAAGTATATGCTGCTGGCACACCTTGCTTATGAGTACAATCAAGCTTTCAGGGATATGGATTGTAAGCAAGGCAGGAAGACAGCACATACTTTGCATCAGGGCAAAATAGCACTTTTAAGGAAAAAAGACAAATCTTCATGCAGCTGTATCTCCAGATTTCAGCAGCAAAATCTTCAGTGGCAACACTGGACGTGGGAAGAGCCACTAAAAAAGGAAAGAAATTCACACTCATTTGAATCAAAAACAAATCACTTCAATTTATCATTTAACAGATTAATTTGCATGAGTGAAAGACCAAAGACAATCCTACCTTCAAGGGTGTCATGGGGAGTACTACTGTTGCACACCAAAGCATTCATCTTTTTTTCTTGTTGAAACTTTTCTGCATATTCTGCCAATGGTTTCAGTAGTTCTGCAGCACCCAGACATTGCAAGTGGTTGCCACTGAGAAGCAGATTGCTGTGATAAATAAAGTGCACACTTAACTACTTTAAGAGAAAACACTCATCACACCTAAATGTAAAGCATAATGCTGTGAATGCAAGTCTTGATTTGTGTGGCCTCAGTTTGCAACATTAGCAATACATAAATAAATGCAGGTCTCATCCACAATTCATAGAGGGAGAAAGCAACTGAAGTATTAGAATTGCTGAAGGAAGTATTTTTCCTTGCCTGCTTAGAAAGAGGAGCATGAGGGAGAAGAAGAAACTTGAATCTTGCCATCCTTTGAAGGAAAGAGTTTCCTTTGCCTGCTTAGAAGGGAATGAGGAGATGAAGAAACTGCAGTCTTGGGAGTTTTGGTGTGCCTGAAAGGGGTTTCCTCTGGTTGCTTGAGTGGTGGGTGAGCAACTGGAGTCTTAGCATCTGGAAGGATGGAAAATATAAGCTCTGATGTTTTATGCTTTTGTTGTTATTGTTGCTGTGTGCCTTCAAGTCATTACAACTTATGGCGACCCTAAGGTGAAGCTATTATGGGATTTTCTTGGCAAGATTTGTTCAGAGGTCTGCCATTGCCTTCCCCTGAGGCTGAGAGTGTGTGACTTACCCAAGGTCACCCAGTGGGTTTCCATGGCTGAGCTGGGATTTGAACCCTGGTCTCCCAGTGTCCTAGCCCAACACTCAAACCACTATGCCACGCTGGCTTTAAACATTTTTAAAATTAATGGTGGGCAAAATCACTAACTTTGTGGCTATTTTGTCTCAGTTTAAACTGATCCTACTAAAATCCATGTATTCCCTATGGAACTCGCTTTCCCCATTTATGTCAGTCTAAATTTACATCACAATCCAGGAATGCAAGCCCAACATAAACTGAGGACGTTATCACATGTGGGCCAGAAAGCGATAATAAAGTGG